TAGCCTTAGATTAGGGTAAGAGGGTTTGTTTATATATGAGTGTCACCAAAAGAAAACCCGAAAATTTAAATTTAAATTTCGGGTTTTCTTTTGGCGACACTCATATACAATTTGATGCTAAAACTTTTGTTTAAAAATCGAAGCATAGTTTTCATAACAGATAGTTTTTTTTTTTTTTTTAATACGTATGCTATTCTAAATTTAATATAAGTAAAAAATTTAATTGATTTTTTTTTTTTTAATACCGCCTCATAAAGATCTGAATAATTATAGTATATTATATATTTCTTACGCGTAATAACGCGTTATTTAGAAAATCATGAAAATGACATGGTATAGTTTCAAAATAACGCACATACGCGCTCCAAAATAACGCGTACCCATATAAAAGTGGCTTCGTCACTCACAAAGTATTTCAAATACGATTGACAAATAACTATACTTACCAGCTAAATCGGCTTAGGTAGGAAGTGATCTATCGATTAGCGTGACTTTATTTTGAGGAACAGGTTTAGAAGAAATTTTATCTTTGCTTCAAAATGACGCCCATACGTGTACTCTAAATAACCGCAGATGGGAATTATTACGCGTAAATACGGTACTATCTAAAATATTCATCAGATGAATAAACTTCATTTCATTGATCAACTATTATTGCAATTTCCACAATAGATTCTAACAAAATTGGTCTGTTTATCTTGAGGAATTAGCAAACAAATGTTACAGTGCAAAATTGAATATCTAAATGATCTATGGTGACGGTGTAAATGAAATTATGCGATTAAACATAAAGAGCCTAAAGTTTGTTGAAATTAATAGTGTACAAGAAGCTGCAATAATGCAGTCTACTTCTACTATAGCTAGCATAAATGCAAAGAGAATATAGTTCTAATTTGGGATATGGTAGTAGTTGTCATCCACATCGTAACTAAAATATAAATATACCATAGAAAACAGACATTAGAAAATAATTGTATTTTTTGCTATCAAATTTTATTAAAAATTGTTTCACAAAAATTATTTCGAGATTCAAAATCCAATAAATGGATTCTGAATTCACAGAATTCCAAATCCGCCTAAAGATACATAAAGATATACATTTTAACTATTTTTACTATACAGCCCTAACAATCAACTACAAGTCACTTTTGTTATAATGAATTCTTGATATAATGAAGAATTTTAAACTACAATACTATTGAAATTCGCTCGATATAACTAATATTTTTTCTATATAAGTTATAGCGAAGAAGTTTCGATGACTTCATTATAATGAGTGACGTATATTTATAAACCAAAAAAAAAAATTAAACATGATAAAATATTAAACCCTAATTACTACATTACTGGATTGTAGGTACACCAAATTTATAATGATGGTCAATTCTGCAAAATATGAACAACAAAGCTTGATAAACCAATGTACACAATGTAAAAGAAACAAACAGTACCCAAGAATGTATTTACAAGAGACCAAAAGGATGACTTTAAATCAGACCTCAGTCCTATAATTTAAAAGCAGTAAACATTATTTTAAAAAATGTACATGATGAAAAGTATCGTTAGTTTCCTTTTTTTTAAAAAAAACTTACCATTCAAGTTTTTTCTTCGATTTATTGTTATTAATGTCTGTTTCCATCGTAGGATCAGAAAAGGGATCTGCAAATGGATCATCAAGCAAACTATTATCATAAACTATATTGTCATTCTGCGAATGACTATATAAGAATTTCCATTAATAAAAATTTGAATAGTAATGTAAAGATGTATAAATATATATTAAAATGCTTTTACTTTGATGTATAAAATGAATCAAAATCAATGAGGTCAAGATCTTTGTGTATCTGATGCAAAAATATGTTAAACCAAATTAGTTTTATAAAAAAAAAAAAAAAAACTTGTTAATGCGTTTATAATAAAGCATTAAAACCTTGGCAGAATCTTGTGATTGGGATGTAATTTTTTTTTGCTTTATTTCTGATGAAATGTTTTTCGAGTTTGAATTTTGTGAGAAAGACTCACAGTATTCCGAATATTTTGATAAAGCAGCTTGTACTTGATCATTTGATTGTAATAAAGGACCTTGTATATACAATAATTAATATTGGTAGAAGTAGTAAGTAGAATAATAATAAAAAATAAAAATAAAATTGAATATTATAATTGTACCCATTTTATCATCATCCATGACAGTTGGTATAATTTTAAAAAATTGTTCGGATGAATCTTTGCATTTACGAACCAATTTCTAAGCAAAAACTAAATATAAGTAATTAATGTTTTTAAAAATTAAATGGCAATAACATTATGTACCTGAATTTCAGGATCTTTTTCAAGATTCGTATTTGGGGTTAATAAAATAAGAGCATTTTCGAGATTTATAGCATTTTGAGCAGCCAACCCAATTTCTTGATTAATCTTAAAACAAGAAACGAGTTTCAATGATAATTAAAAACATAAGCTTTACGAAAAAAATAAAATAAAATAAAAAATATACTTTTTCGGGTGAATAGGTAGGAGATTTAGGGGATTGTGATCTTTTATTATTAGATTTATCTAAACTTTTTCGATCTTCTTTAGAACTTGAGGAAGATGGAATCTGAGGGACAGGTCTCGTGCCAGAATTTCTCCTAGAATAACCGGCCTTATGATTCACACTATCATATAAATGAGATACAGCGTACATATTGGGTTGATTTTTGAAATTATTGGACCATTGAGAGAGCAGTAACATTAAACTTTTGTGAACTCTCGGATCAGTAGCCTGATATATACATAATGATAAAAATCATATGAGATACCAACGTAAAAAAAATTTTTTTAATATAGATATTTATAGATATTTATAGATACCGGAGAATTCGCCATAGATTTCAGCAGTTCAACAAACTTTGGAGTGGAAACGTGAACTTTGTAAGATGATATACTAGTTTAGATTTTTACAAAAATTAACAATCTGAAAACGTATGATATAATCGGTGATATACCTTGAAAATTTTCACCAAGATTATCAACCAATGCTTTTAAAATCTAAAAACAATAAAAAAATAAATAAAACAAAATCGATTAACCAATTAACGTTACTGTTAGAGCGAATAAAACGTAAAAATTTTTTAAAGAATAAAAATAGATAATATACAGTGAGACCACGAAGCTGTGAATGTGTATCACCATATTTAAAAACATGTCTCAAAGATTTACTAGCTTCTTTAGGTCTTTATATCCATAGAAATATAAAAATACTCAGCATCGAACTACGATAAAAATTTAGATGACCGAGAAATATAAAGTATATCATACCCAGTCTCTTGCAATCTGATAGCTTCACACAATTGAAACATATCAGATAGATCATCTTCCTCATAACGATTCGATGTCATACGTTCTTGAATTATAAATTAATTTGATATGGAATAAATGCAATCAATTTGAGGAGAAAATTACAATAATTTGCATACCAATCCAAGCAGATACCGCGGTCCTTTTAGTTTTATTGCTGAATATATTCATTTTTATAATTTCAAAAGTAAAATTAAAACCTTTTCGATGAATTAAATAAGATCAAAGAAAAGTAAATTGATAAGATTAAGATTGACAGGTGATACGTTTTTCAAAAAATTTTTGGTATGACATGAACCAAACTTAAACTGGTTGTCACACAGAACAGTAATCCAAAAATTAAAAATCTTTACTCAAATTAGTACCAAACACGGTAACTAACACTAAATAATTCTTTAAATTTTTTGATATTTATAAAAAAAAAAATTCGTTATCTCTTATATTTTATTTTGAATTTAAGGAAGTTCATTAATGAAGTGTTACATAAATAAATTCCACATGACAATTGCATGACAAGTGCATAAATATTATGTAATAAAACAGGAATAGTCGGTCGAATCTAGTCTTCTGATTCAAGATTATCACAGACCTTTCCATAATAGAGAAAATATCACCAAAATTCATTTACTATATAAAAAGCAAGACAAACAAAAAAAAAGAGTTAACAAAAAGTTTTAGCAATTTAACGTCATCGATTGACATTGTAAGTCTTTTTATGTGAACGATTAATTAAATGGAACATCCAACTTAAGTATACGTATTTAGAGGACAGACCAAAGGATTCCAGAATTTAAAGCTAAGAATATGCACTTAGATTTCAAAGTTAATATACACTTAAATTTGCTATCGATAAATGATAATTTTAAAGTGGTACGTACGCACAAATTATTTCCATTATAAAGTTTTACCACGACTTAAAGCAGTATTCTAAAGGTTTATTTCAAACAAAAGACCTTAACGTTAAGAAAAATAAAGATTTATAGAATAACAAAAAAAACTGTAGTCTAAACTATGGCGACATATACAGTCAACTACCGATATAACAACTACCGATATAACGATATAACGGACACCCTTAGACTGGATTCCCGGACAAATTGCCAAGAACCGAATTATTAATTTATAATGGTTATAACGGATTAATAATAAAAAAAACCATATCGATATAAAGGAGATATTTTTTTCAGCCCAGCGTTATATAGATAGTTGACTGTATTTATAAAATACGTAGAACAAGGAATAATCTAGCTTCAATCCTTAATCAGACTAACGCTAATTCGGATAGATCCGGCAATTCGGATATCCGTATCCGTTAAGTCATAGCGATAACTCTAGCGCCGCTAGGAAGACTTTGTATGATTGGCTGATTTGAGTCAATTTGACGCAATCCTCACTCGTGTTTTAATAGTACAGTAGTACAGAAATAGGCCGTCCTAAATATTTAGAGACAGAAGTTTGTCTGATTGGTCGGCATGAATCAATTGCCGGTAACATTTATATGTTTAATAAACATAAAGCTTAGAATGACATCGTTTGTCGTAGCACTTGCTAATATATTGGGGGGATGGGACTATATATTATATAGTCCCATCCCCCCTTTTGCTATAAGCGTCCCCATATTATAAAAAGCAAATAGAGTTTTATTACATCACAATTAGGGAAATTGGAGTTGGGAACCGGTTTTGCTTTTCCAAATTCACAAACTTATATCCGATTCATAAAAAAGAAATATATAAATATACAGAACAAAAGTTGAATTTAAACAACCCAAATTCAATGAACTTTCCAAGTGAGACTAGGTTAGCCATGAGTTATATAGTGTTTTTACGAAAATCTGAACTTTTAAAAATAATGTGCACCTCACATAACATAAGCTTATCTGGATTTGTAATATGGTAATCATTAGGTTTATTAGGTTTAGAAGTTGATCTTTTACGTATCACGGAATATCACACATAAGCATACGTACTCTAAATAGCGCGTATGTAATCGAAATAACAAATATATAATACTAAAAAGAGTTTGACTATATAAGGTGAATGTGGGTAAATGACGAATTGAACATATTAATATTACAAGGAAACAGAATTTTTTATTAAGCAAATCAACTAAGTAAAATTGTTCGAAATGTCATCTTTTCCTTACCTTAAATTTTTGTGCATTACGGATAACTTTTTTATACGTAGTAAGGGGTGCTTATTTACAACAAATGCTCCGGAACTAGATCAACCTAGCTCCGGAATATTTTTTGTTTTAGACAAGATGCATAAAATTTTTACATTTGTCTCAAAATAACGCGCATATACTTAAAATAACGCGCAGATGAGCGTTGTTTTTTTTTTCGTTATACGTTTTGGCGCAGAAATTAATTTTTTGCGCCAAAACGTATAACGAAAAGCTCATAAATAAAAAGTTATCGATAATGAGCCAAAATTTGAGAGCAAGTAAAAGATGGCAATCGAACTTTAGTTAATGAATAAAGTTCGATTTACTTACCCCAAAAAAATTGCTTTAAGTGTAAAAAGCTGAAAATTATTAACATAAAGATCACATTGAAAGAAATTAAAAAAAAAGATCGATTTACATACGTTCGTCATTTTGCCCTTGCGAAATTAAAAAGTAACATTTCATGATTTATATAAGGCACGATTTCTTTTCATATCATGATTTGTAAAGCAGTTAAGCAATTTTTATCAGACTTTTATTTGTAAAAAGTGTATAATGCTCACATTTATCTCATTGGGCTGGAGCGGAGGGGAGCGGAGGGGAAGACCTTTGAGCCATACTCATAGAGATTTTGCCGATGTCCGGCTCCCGCCCCTGTAAATGAGATTGGTTTAAACAATCATGTCCCCTGTAAAAATTTAATTCATCAGAAATTCAATCATTAAAAA